CAATATAGCTAATAAAACAAACCTATTGCTTCTCTTAATCAAAGCTAAATTCTAATTTAAGCTCCCTTATTAAAGTTTTATTATTACTAGTATTATTTAGTATAAAATATCTAAGTTTATTACTAATCTTATATTCTTAAATAATCTTAATGATTTATCTAGTAATATTCTTATTTATATACCACTCTATAAGCTTAGGCAATCCAAGGATATACTTCTATAGCTAATTGTTTAAATCCTAAAAAACATATATAATACTATATAAGGCGTATTAGTTACCAGACTTCTAGCTATTTATACTAGATATAAATCTGTCCTAGACTTTTTCATAAAGCATCCTTTACTCTTTCTATATTATTAATAAATTCTTATTTTATAATAATATATATAATTACGTTAGTAATATTAGCTTCTATAATCTCACTTAGAATATGATGGTGATATTCTTAGATAGTCACAGGGAAGTAAAAAGACTTAGTAAAGGTAAAGGTAGAAAGATAAGGTTGTTATATTTTTTCATGCTATTATATCATCTTTTCTTTCTAAAAGGTAGGAATATCTTAGGCTTATATCCTTTTCTTGATATCTTATTAGTAATATGATTATCTAATAAAATAATCTTATCTGGAATCTAGGAGTTGGTTTTCTGGAATCTAGGGTTAACTAGATCTAAGGCTGGAATTCTAGGGTTAACTAGATCCAAGACTAGAATTCTAGGGTTAACCTGATGTTACGGCCTAACCAGTTGGGGTGCTGGCCGGCGTAACTATATAGTGCAGAACAGGGGATAATGATGCAGGCGCATCATTACCGAAGCTTTTGCTTTGTGGTGCAGTTGGTTGCCCTGACCTGCTCGTAACACAATGATGCGCCTAACCTGCGTCGAGGGGTTGTGGGTTCAATTCCTGCACGCTGCGTCGATAGTGCCTCCTACACTATGAAGGGCGTCCTGACCGTGGGCAGGTTATGATGTGGTTGGTCGTTGCCACTAGCCTGGAGTTTCCCTGCTTATACCCGTGATATGCCCGATTGGTCCTCGGCATAGGGACATGCCTCTTGGAGGGGAGACATGGTGTTACGGCCTAACCAGTTGGGGTGCTGGCCGGCGTAACTATATAGTGCAGAACAGGGGATAATGATGCAGGCGCATCATTACCGAAGCTTTTGCTTTGTGGTGCAGTTGGTTGCCCTGACCTGCTCGTAACACCTGATTCTTATAAGCCTATCTTATATATAGACAAGTTATATACGGTTATAAAGCTCCTATTTTACTTAATCCAAATATAGATATAGTAAGTTTATATAGTTATTAGATATAAAGATATAATTAGATAAGATAAGAGTTCTTATAATAAATCTTATTCTTAGTATCTCCACTAATAGATTAAGGTAATTAAGAATATCTCAAAGATCTTAATCATTAATAATTAAGAAAAATTAGTTAGAGTTAATAATTTAGTTAATAAGTTTCTACTAAAATATAGTTTTATTAAAACATTTAATTAAGGTATTAATTAGATCTTATTCCTTTAGCTTCTTTAGGTTTAACTATAAGATTATTGTAATAAACTAATATACTTTCTTAGATGCCTTAGTAGGCTTTTGCTTCTTATATGTCAAATCTATAATACTATTATAGTCTATATAACGTACATGATAAGCGAGTGAGACGGACAAGCGAGTGAGACACTTCCTTATCGTACCTTAAAGGTCAGTTTTTTAACCATTTATTAAAAATCGAATATAAGACACAAATGAGAGATGTCTCTAACAGAACTATATTAGTATACATAGATCTTAGTTATAAATCTTAGAAATTCATTTTCTATAAGATAAGCCTTAAAGACTAAGAAGCTATAATAGTGGGGCTACGATAAGGCTTAGTTTATATTCAAAGACTTACAAGGTATTTGTAATTACAAAAATATTATTTTCTATAGCACTACTCTTATCAAAACCAATGAAAAAAGATAAAGCTGTTTTAGCTATATGTTCGATTTTTAATAAATGGTTAAAAAACTGACCTTTAAGGTACGATAAGGAAGTGTCTCACTCGCTTGTCCGTCTCACTCGCTTATCATGTACGTTATGTTCTAAGCATCTCTTTGGTGACGGCCTTGACACGTAGGCTTTCAATTGTTCTACCTTTCAACGTCTTCAGCTGTGGGTTACGCTTCAAAAACCCCTCCATCCATCGCTTGCCAAGGGGTCTAACGTCGTTGCCAGCAGCTAATATCCGGGCTGCAAAAGCGCGTAGTTGGGCGTGCGTTGGAGCAAGGCCAAGAGTGCCCTGGGTTAGGGCCCAGCCAACTAAGTGGCTTTCTTGTATAGGCGATAGTCGCTGCAGATGTTCACCGGATACCCTTTTAGGCGTACAGCCCTTCATTCGCGAAGAGATAGTCGTCACAGGTATTCCCCAGGTACGAGATGCCTGCCGTAAGCTCATCCCGCCCCCAACATCCTGTAGAGCTTGCTGAATGTCGTATTCAGTATATTTTGGCATAGCGATAACACTGGTATTTTTCAAATAATTAATATTTGATGTTGTGGTTGGATGTGTTGGTGATATTGTTTGTATAGGTAGGATGTGTAGTGGCGAAATTTCTGTACGAAATGAGGGGGTGTACGAAATGGGGGTGCCCGGACTTATAGGCTATCATTACCCGCTCGACGGCTTCCATTTTTTTGACAAGATCGTTCCCGAAGATTAATTAACCCGACATGCATCTCCAAAGTGTGAGAGCAAATACTTTCGATGACGAGGCATGTACCTCCACACTAGACATCGATAGGGGGCTTGCGGTACATTTTCCTGGAGGTCTTTGCTGGATATGAACAGCTTCTGGACCGGGATGAGATTGAAATGCCGTCTAGAAGACTAGACTCGCTTGCTTACGACCTTGTTATACATTCCTGATGCCTGCGCGATTGAGAGGCCTTTCCCGGATGCTCTGCCCTGCCTCTACGTCAATCAGGTCACAGCCCCTGCCCGCGACGCTCATTTTGCGCCGAGACGCGCTGGCAGCATGGGTTACGGCGCATTTCGCAGAGGCCGTTGTGATCACATGGCGTGACTTGGGTGGGACTGGTAGGTCGACTATGGCTCGTGAGGACGTAAGGCCCAATACTATGTATGTTCCGCCCCCTTCGATAATATGTCCAACAGCTCGCCAGGTCTAGATGACGGGTGCGCAGGTCACCGGGATCAGGCATCGTGGGCAATCCTGGGCCGGCATCGATTTCCTCCTCGATGGTGCCCAACGGCCAACCTGCTGCACCGGCGGCATAACCGCCGAAGCTTTGAATTTCGTGCTGATAGCGTCCTTGTGTTCGGGATATGATTTACCGAGCGAGGCGATTGATTGGCCAAACAGCAGCTTGCAGTGAGGTGTACCGTATGTACATAGTACTCGGTCAACTGGGCCCCCATATTAGTGTTCTCTAACCTAATCTGTTCCTTTTTCTCACCTTGTATCCAATGATAAGCCCGCGATCTGCTAGCAAGCTGTCCCAATTCCGTTACCGCGAACAAATATGGGGGCCCAGTTGACCGAGTAGATACGGTATGCTGGCAATACCCCTTCCACATTGGAGATCCGACCCACTATCGATGGCAAGGCAACCTGAGAGATCCTGACCATGGTGCAGCAACATGCAGCCTGCAGTGATACCGGTACGTAAGGGCACTCTTCTGTGGTGTCCGGGCAGGGCTGACCGGTGCTCTTGAAGTACCTCGGAGTACTCTATACTCCATACAGAGCGTTCCATATTCAAGTGGTGAATTCGCCTATCACATTGTAATGCCTTGCCGCCGGGCTCAGACACCGCCTTATTTCCGCCGCCATGCGTGCATACGTCGGCACACAGTCAACTAGACAAACTTCGCCGCCGGATTGGATAGGGGCCAGCACAGTGACGATAACATTGCGGGCCGATGGTACTTGGCGCCAATCCGGCAATTTTACTCGCCATCATCGTGAATTGCTGCAACAGACCCCCATTGAACCAGTCAGGTAACAGGCGAATATTGCAAGTCCACGCTCGAGAACCTCGCGGGATATCTCAAAGCAGATATTCCAGATCCTCGATGGGCACCGAACGAGTGGCGGAGGATTGTTCGAGTTCCCCCGGCGCGAACCAGTCGGATGCTGGCGTGCATGGTACTGCCGCCGGAAGATTATTCACGTTGAAGATGCCATCCGGTCAAGCACCGCATTCCAATCACGCATTCTCATGGCGAAACGGTGATTATAGGTGTGTGGAACTCAGGTTGGCTACTGATTAATTTGATGTCAACCATACCTACGGACCCAAGCATCACGAGCTGCCTGATGCGCTTGAGATGGCTCCTGCACACCACTAGGTCTAGAACGTATCGGGTCGGAAGACCCTGTCGTTATCGGAGAGCCTGCTTGAGTGGCAGGATTGTTCTTGTCGTTGTTAACCTCTTCTCTGCGACGCTCCAGCGAACTCAACCAAGCACTCCGTGGTGCAGCCGCCGGTGTGGCTGAAACGTCACTCTGTTCCCTCGAATCAGAGCTCCTCCAAGCCATGAAAATACGCATGGCCTCCCTCATGGGCGATAGGGGGCACTGTTGCAAACCCCCTGATCATTTCCTTTTACACCCTGCCGGGGTTTTAATTATTAGTGCGCATACCTAGTAGACTTGTAAGAGCGAACAGGTCTTAGAAGGGAGATGTGTTAGAAGGGATTGGCCAACGCGCCGGTTCCGGACCCAATTGACTAGTATCACTTGATTGGCCAGTGGGCTTGCGCTGACTCATTAAGACCGTGCACTTGATTTGTTCATGTAGGGTCGGTCTTCCGTAACTGCAAGCCAATCAATGCCTCTCTTTGTCCCGCCCGTCGTTGGGTTGGTCCCATAAGTACTGGCTTCCCTCCCCCAGATGTTTGCCTAGACTATCAAGCATCAGTTAACACAACGCCACAACCGAGAATCTCCAATGAACACATGGTTGTTTCCACTACCACTGTCGTCATGGCATCACCCTCTCCTCCCTCTTGGCCTCACGAGAAGCATCGTCAGTTACTCTCGCGCGACGATTACATCGACTTGCGCAATTCCCAGGACCAGCAGCTGAACGCCGAGTTCACGTCCGTTCGATGCTCTATCGACCTCGTGCGGCAGGAGCTCAAAAACGATATCGGCCTCGTCAAGGAAGAAGTCGGCCTCGTCAAGCAAGAGCTTAGAGAATTTAAGGACGACGTCAAGGCCCAGACCCAGCGTCTTGAAGCCCAGATCCGTCAATCCCATGCCTACATGCGGAACAACGCCTTAAAGAATCCATCTCTCCCAATCCGCCCTGTCGTTGTGTATCGCCCTGAACAAGGCATCCTCGAACCCGAACTTTCACAATTTCCCCGAAACGCGAACGAGTTTTATTCCTTGAGGGACCCTCGAACGGATCGGCACCGGTCGATGTTGGCGTATCTCGCTGTCTTCTACGATGTCCGACTCAGAACTGCAGACTATCCTTCAGAAGATGACAGTGGCGACGACGAAACATTCCTTGACCGCCCCGATATTGTTGTGGAAAAGCTGGAGGACATACTTGGCTTGAACGAAGATAAATTTGACAAGTTTAGGGAAAGGGCACGCCAATTAGCAACGCAGTCCCCCTCGAAACCTATCAAACGCTCGCAAATTTTCCTCCCCGACGAGGAATCGATCCCTAGTACACGCCGACAGAGACTTGAGCTGCGTCCGACCGACGCCAGAGATGGAAAGTTACACATTCACGATAACGGAGGCCGCCAAAGTCCCAAAAGCGCCTCTTCAGAAGACTTGACCAATGCCCGTCTCGGATGGGGGACCCGCTCAACCCCTTCCTCGCGACGACTCCGAATACGCCATTCTCAAGAGCCCGAGCACGTGCCTGTAGCACCCGGATCCCAGCCCGAGGTACCGAAGTCTGAGACTGAGGCGACAGTTAGCGATAGCGAGACACATGCATTCACGAGCTCACGGGAACCTTAATCTTGACTTACCGACGTATGTCGATGGTCGATGGAGTCAGTAATACATCGCTCGACAGCAACCCCGCCGCTCTCTACCACCTCTTAGGCTACCCAGGGGAAGTATTCACAGACGACCAGCTCAAAAGGCACTCACTGTTCATCGGCGACTTCATTGCCAGACAGCTGCTTTTCTTCACGACGTATTTGTGCACTTTCCGTTTTCTAGACACGCGAAGTTCAGTATTGCGCAGCATCTCTTGACATTGCAGATCGCCAGATGGCTTACAGCATGGCCCTCGTTGTGCGGGCTAAGACGATGAGTCGTCAGATCAATGTCCCGCCTTCCGTCGCAGCAAGGCCCCGCCCCGATCGTCGCCTACCGCAGTGCCCGCGACGGCGTCCTCAGCAAGGCCGCCTACGACCACTTCCCGAACCGATACACTGCCGCCGCCATTGACGATGCGCCTGCGCCCGGTCAGCAATTCGTTGATCGACCTAAGCGATCTGGCGGTCACCGTTCACGGTTGTATACCGATCTGGTCCTACGAGTAGGCGGCCTCCTGCCATAAGGGCAACAAGGAAGTGTTAGGCGTGGAAGTCGGCAAAGACACCACAGCGATGGCGACGACCGTAAGCGCTGGTTCACAGGGTACCGCGGAGGTGGCAGTGATTGTGACGGTGGTGGTCGTTGCGCTGAGGGCGGATGTTGTAGTTGTATCGGCCTTTCCGGCAGCTGCGATCGAATCCAGCTTGGCCCGCGTCGACAAGTACAGGGTCGTTACGCCGGCGACACCAAACAAGCGAGGCGGTCTTCAAATCCACGTCACCGCTGCGGCGGATGATGCCGCGCAAAACATCCTAGCTTGGCTACGGCTTCTACACGCCGCTAAGCAGCTCCTCCGCGTGCCTCATCTTAAGGGTGCGCATAACGAGCGGGCTGGCAGCACCCAGCCAGTAATCCACGTCCTCGCCCTCAAGCTCGGGGGGCACCCTCCTGCCCGGCGTCCGCTACGCCCGTTGCAACAAGGTGGCCGGCCCTGATGCAGAGGTAATCCTTAGCATCGGGGTGGTCCAAACGCTGCCCCAGCAGCAGCTCTCGGCATCGGCTGGCCCGATGAGCCCGATAATTCGCCACCGCGGGCGCCGAGACTGTCAGAATGCCTTGGTAGATGACAAGGAAAGTAGAAAGCATAACACTTTACGAAGAACGTGTATGATACCCGAATACCAGCACACTACAACTGGGTTTAGTTGGCCGTCTGTCAGATGACCCGGAGGGGTACCGGTGGAGCACCGGGGAGCGCCGGCTACGGAGTGGGACATACGGACTATTGTTAATCCACCCGCAGAACATAAAGAGGGCAGCGGCTGAGGTGGAAATCTTTGAGAAAGATAGGATACGCTCGTTCTGCCACGCTCGATCTAGCACACTCGTTCTGTCACGCTCTGTGTGTCCCGTTGTGTATGTCCGGTGTCGACTTTCCCGGTCGCGCCCCGAGCTTGTAAAGATCCCTGCCGTCCTGGGACTTATTCCGGGCCATTTATACCACTCGTGTTTCATCGTCCGGCGGACAATGATTTTCGTGGTTACCGTGAGGGTCCGTAGGTGCTCCGGCTCCGGTGGTGGTGCGGCTTGGGCGTCTGCGTTGGGGCTGAAGCCGGCAGCTTCTTTGGCTGCTTGGTCCGCCAACTCGTTGCCTGGCACACCGACGTGCGCCGGGATCCAGCGACATTGAACCTCCCATCCTCGGCTACGGACCTCTTCGAGTGCTCGTATCGCTTCGATGAGAATGTATTGTCCTGATGGGCACTTGGGTTTCAGTAGCGCTTGGATGGCGGCTTGTTTGTCGGTGAACGTAGCGCATTTGCCGGGCGGTTGGACGATTTGTGTATATCGAGAATCATTTGTAGCGCTAATGCTAGCCCCTTGAGCTCTGCTGCGTACACCGTGGACGATACGGATGTACCGATGTATTCTAACCGCTTCGAGCCAATGTCGTCCACCGGTGGGTTAGTTATTACTGCCGCTGCGCCAATGTGGTCGTTGATACCGCTTCCATCGGTGTAGATGCGGACCACCTCCGGCTCGGTGCCGTCGTGCTCCTTGATTGCGTCCGCGGCGGACTCATTGATGCAGACAAATGGTGGAATCCACGGTGGGACCACGTGTGGCAAACGTCTCTCGAGTTTATCGAGCTGCGCGTTGTGTTTGCGTTCCAAGATGCCCGAGGATTGATCCAGGGGACTCTGCACGATGCGGATGGGTTATGATGACCCGTAGGGTTAAGTCTAGATACATGACGAAACGCGAAGAAGAGGAAAGAGAGATCCCGCTATGCGAGCGGCGCGTCGCCGCAATACAAGGGGTTATGGCGAAGCCATGACTCGCAATACCCTTGACGCCACCCTGACACGCGATCCCGTGAGAACAGGTACGCTTTCTCACTGCCAGCAGAGTAGATACGGGGTGTCTATTTGATATGCATAGACCATGTCGGCATCGCCCGGCACGTCCCTTTTTGCTCTGGACGTTAAATACATCATCATCATCATATTTGATATGCGTTGGACCTCCTAGCGCAGCAGCTCACAGATTGCCTTGGAGAAGCGCTTACGGCTTCTACAAGGCGCACGCTTGGCAGAGGACCAGGGAGGCCATACTGGAACGAAACCTGTACGCGCAAACACCAAGCCTATACGACTAAAAGAGGAACCGTCGCGAGACTCCGCGCTTTGGGAATAGACTGCCCATGGGAGCGAGAGGAGGGGGACACCCTTAAACAGGACTTTCTCCGTGAGCTTCGCCGTTCCAAGGAGACCTACTGGAGAGGAAAGATCGCCGCAGCCTCCACAGGCAAAGACGTATTTGAAATGGTCGGGTGGCACAAAGCCACAGGATCCTTCCAGAACCCACCACTCCGAGATGAGGACAACCCATCCACTCTCGTCTCACAACCGAAAGAGAAGCGCGACTTGTTTGCCCGCGTTCTTCTCAGAAATGCTGCCATCTCTGCGGACATACCAGCAGAGACCCTAGTACCCCACCCGCAGGCCAAACTTCTTTTCCCACAGATCACAAAGAACGAGATACGTACTTCAGTTCTCTCTGCGGGAAGCACTACCCCTGGGTCCGATGGAATCACGACGGCCGTTCTCAAGACCGCATGGCCAGTCATCGAGGACATTGTCTTCTCGCTCTACAGCGGATGCATACGCGAGGGCTGGCATCCCACCTGTTTCAAAGAAGCAATCCTAGTCATCCTGCCTAAGCCGGGCAAGAGAGACAGGGCGCTCCCGCGCTCTTATAGACCAATTGCGCTCTTGTCCGTGCTTGGAAAAGGCTTGGAGAGACTTGTCGCAAGAAGGCTTGCCTGGATCACAGTCAAGCCAGTCAAGCACCAGGTACTGCACGACCAACAGTTCGGCGCCCTCCCTCTTCGCTCGTGTAGCGATCTCACTGCTGCTGCCATCCACGATATCGAGTGCGCCTGGCAGAGGGGCCTTGTCACCTCCATGCTCACACTTGACGTGAAAGGGGCTTTCGACGCCGTGCTGCCAGGGCGGCTGGTCCATCGCCTCCGCCAACAAGGATGGCCGGAGAACCTCGTCAAATGGGTTTCGAGCTTTGTCATCGGGAGAAGAGCAAGAATTAGGTTGGACGGGGAGATGGGAGACGTCTTCGACCTCGAGTGTGGGTTACCACAGGGCTCACCCGTGTCTCCCATCCTCTTCATGCTCTACATCGAACCTCTATTCAAGCTGGGCACTGCTCGTCCCGGAAGGAAGCGGGCTCGATTTGGCTATGCCGACGACATCGCCATCCTGGCATCCTCAACCTCCCTAGAAGACAACTGTGCCCTACTAGCTAAAGAAGGGCAAGAGGCCCTAGGATGGGGCGCGCTGGGGGGTATCATGTTCGATCTCGACAAGTTGGAATTCATCCATTTCACCAAGAGACGCAAAGATGGAAACCCGCCAATAACTGTCACAATGTTGGACGGGCGGCAGCATACAGTTCAGGCTGTTGACCAAGATTCCTCTCTGCGATGGCTTGGCGTCCACTTCGACCGAAGGCTCTCATGCAAGAACCATGTGAGAGACCTCTGCGCCAAAGCATGCCGGGTAGTCAACGGACTGCGAGGACTAGGGAACACCGTCTGGGGCGCGCCGGCACACCTCCTTTGTCGTGCTGTTACCTCTTGCGTATCACCTATCCAGTATTACGCATCGGAGGCATGGTGGCCCGGCAGGAACTGGGTCAAGAATGGACACACTGTGTCGAACGGGGTCAACGGTCTGCTTCACCAACTTGACACTATGCAAGCCAAGGCCATCCGAGCTGTACTCCCAGTGTATAGAACGACGCCTGTACCGACCCTACAGCGCGAAGCTGCCCTGCCGCCGGCAGAGGTGATATTAGACGCAAAGCTCTACAAAGCCTCTGTGAGGATCCATCGCCTTGACGAACGACATCCCCTCCGGAAGAGGCTTGGAGACAGGCCAGGACCAGACTCTAGGCTACGACGAATGGCAAGGCTTGTAGATGGCAATGCTGAATACGTAGACCCGCTAGAACTACCACCTTGGGAGCGCTTAGCGGACTGGCACACAGTGCTCCGGAAAGTCGGATACGACCCTGGGAAGGCCAAGGAAGAACTAGCCCTCGAATTTACAGACAGACTGGGGACGTTCTCAAAGCGGGATGTTGTTATCTATTCCGACGGTCCCAGGGCGCCGTCGGCATTGGCACTCTTAGTCTCAATTGGGATAAACGCGGGCGTCGGAGCGTTGTCGGGGAGTTGGCCGTGGCAGACGACGCGCTCTCTGGGATTCGGCTCGTAGTAGGCTCCCACAGATGCGGCGAGGGTAGAGTCGGCTGCCCGAATTTTCACTACAATGTACGGGCCGTCTTCAACGTCTCGTTAGCATGCAGTTATCGCACTGATGAGCACCTCTACACCTACATGTACATGATGCACCGGACCCTCTCCCACGTGTCCTCGACCCTCCGGCGCGCAGCTTCCCTGAAGAGTCCCTCGAGGCCAGTCTCGATGCGCCTATCGAACCCGTTCTTGCCGTTCTCTAGGTGACTTCACCTGGCGGGACACGATCGCCCGTCGTGTCGAGTCGGGTGCTGAGGCTTTTTGCTTCCTCACGCATGCAGTGACTAGTGCACGGCATTGATTACACACCCGGGACCGATCTGACAACCCTCCGAAGTACGGTGCGGTAACCACTCACCAACGATACTTCGTAGCTTTGCACCGCACTGGAGTTTTCACAACGCATAAGTGTATGCATATCATTGGAGCGGGTGCTCCGCATTTCGTGTCCAAGTACGTTGGCAGCTACTACGTCAACATTGTGATTCGCCAGCGACGCGCTGGAAAACATGTCCCCGGGCGCGTAATGTGATTGCCCATCTTGCCGTCGAAATTGGCTTTTTACCACCATCTGCGTCCGCGCATCCTCCAACCACGCCCACAACCAAGGCTGTGCCTCGCCACGGTGGTTTGGGGTGCTTCTCGCCCAAGGATTGCACGTTCATCCCAAGTTCCTGCCGCAACATCGCCTCTGCCTCTTTGGTCAAGCCTCGGTCTGGAAGCGTAGTGGCAAGGTTGCACTCTGTTATCTTGGGCAGGTCATTCTTCATTGAAGGCGTGTGCAGCCCCTAGACCGCTTGTCCTCCACATGATGCATAGCAATGAGGAGTGGTCACTCTGGCGCTCTGACGGGAAGTTACTCGTGGGACACATAGGAAGGGTTTAACGCTGAACATGAAGACCTGCCTGTTCGTTACGTGATTGTCACCGAAATAGGAAAAAGCAAAGAGGTATTCCGCCTATTTCTTTACTTCCTTCGTAACAAGCGTACTCGGGGGGACCGACACCATGCAGGCTCTACTACTTCCGTCGCAACGTTTTGCTCTATTGTATATTACGAATCATGACCGTAGGATTCCTGATCGGAGATTCATTCTGCCCAAGCCAGCACCTTCAGTATATATGTTGTGGCTTGACTCAACCGGGTTGAGTCAAGCCACAGTGTACTGTAATGCATGGCATGAAGTAGTGTAACTAAAACATGAAGATCTATTGTGACTTGTCAGGTGGAAGGCGGTACTGTCAAAGTGGCTGAACTTTTGACTTAGCCAGCCAGCCATCTCACCAACTTAAAATACATACTGCACTTCATACATGGTCAGCCTCCAGTGAGCACACTGGATGCTGCTTGAAAAAGCAGTAGGACGATGTGGCAGACCTTCTCGTGGTGTCCGGTGTCAGTAGGAGTGGTGGGTGTGGCGCGGTGTGTCGCGCGCGGTCGAAAAACCGTGGTTGGATGGTGCTGTGAAAATTTTCATCGGCACTCTCGAACCTACAAACGGACTACGCGATCAACGATCGCCGCACCATCCACGCCATTTCCGAAGCCAACATGCTACACGGGGGATACTGGCGTAAGAAAACCATCCGACTTGACATTGGCTGACGTCGATGAAGAGACAGGACACCCTCCGGCCCATCCGGCTCTGGGCTCGGGAGGCGGACGAGTCGAGCATCATGAGGCATCGGCGCGTCTCCCGGCGAGGGCTCGGAACAAGCCTACGTGCTCTGGTCGAGCGTAATGGAAGTTGTTAAGACCGACGGGTTGACATGGTATCAGCAGACTTGTTAAGCTTCGAGCACAGGAAAAGCGGCCGGACCGATCCCGAGGACACAGCGCACCGCGATCGAACATCATACGGCGGACATGGGTTGGGTTAGTAGACAGAGTGCGAGTAGTCGTGCCGGCGTGATGGCTGCTCTGCGCCTCTGATCTGCAAGACATGGTCGGCTGCGAGTCGGAGACGAGTCGCGGTAACGGGAAGCTGGACCTGGGGTTGCGCCCGGGGTTTCCGGTGGGCCGTAGCGCCGTGGTCGTGACCAGAAGGCAGCGGGGGAGCTGCGTTCCCAGTTCGTACCTGGGCCGTCGCTTGGACGCGGTATCGCCGGTACATTTGATGCACTCCCAGTTCGTACCTGGGGCGTCTAAGAAGACGTGGTACCGCCGGCGCAGTAGCCCCTGCACTTGAGACCTGCGGAGACGACACGGTGGCTCGAGAGGACGGAGGCGCATGTCGGTCGGTTCAGAGACGGGACTGCCGTTGCGGCCGGCTTAAGGTGCAAACTCGAACGACGCGACCGTATGGCCCGTACCGGATACGGGGCGGCACCGTCTCGGCTTTGCCTGGGGCCGAGACACTCCTGTGGGAAGGTCTCCAGACGGAGCAAAAGGCTAACGGGGTCGTTAAGGCGTAGCCACGGCCGGCCGAGTGGCTTCCCGGAAGGAGTGGGTTGTTCGGGGCCGGTACATTTGATGCACTCCCAGTTCGTACCTGGGGCGCCTAAGAAGACGTGGTATCGCCGGCGCAGTAGCCCCTGCACTTGAGACCTGCGGAGACGACACGGTGGCTCGAGAGGACGGAGGCGCATGTCGGTCGGTTCAGAGACGGGACTGCCGTTGCGGCCGGCTTAAGGTGCAAACTCGAACGACGCGACCGTATGGCCCGTACTGGATACGGGGCGGCACCGTCTCGGCTTTGCCGCGGGCCGAGACACTCCTGTGGGAAGGTCTCCCACATGCTTGCCAGTGATGCGCTTCTCAGCCGCACACGCCGGTTTTGACGCCAACAGCCCCTCATCTCCTCAATGGTTTCTCCTATCAATATCCTCTCTCTCATACTCGAGCCGATATTGATCCAGGTGAAACGTCACGACCACGACCAGTGACAAGACAAGACGCGTACACGATGGTAAGAACCACCAGGCAGAAGTACGACTTTTGCTAATTTCTGTTCTAGCCTCTGCGACAGCTCTATCCTGACCACAATCAGGCCGATGATGGGGAAGTCAAGATTGAGTATGCCGTATGGCCCTTTCTCTTAACCTGGTTAACTCTCATAGCATCGTTGCCGTTCACGGCCTAAACCCCCGAAGCAAGAAAGATGACGATCATGCATGGGATACTTGGCGAACCCCATCAGGGCCCGCAGGACGCATCTGGCTCCGCGATGACCTTCCCCAGCATGTTCCCGACTCGAGGATTTTCCTCTACCAGTACAACGCTACCGCCGTTTACGGTAAAGACCGAAGTACATTTGTTGACAAAGCCAACGATCTTCTTGAGGATATACGGTTAGAGCGGGAAGATGCTGAATCCAGACCGATACTCTTCTTGGGACACAGTATGGGCGGGCTGTTGATCAAGCAAGCACTTATCAACGCACACCACAATCCCAACTACTTGTCAATCAAGGACGCCACCAGCGGGTTAGCCTTTTTCGCAACGCCACACAACGGCGGCGACGAGAAGCTGGTGAATTTTGGAAGTTTGGCTGCCAAGGTTGCCATAGCGACAGGATTTCAGAAAGGCGATGATGTGCTGGAAGTATTGAAGCAAGGGAGTATCTTCTCGGATATTATGCATGAGCACTGGAGGCATCAGCTTTTGCATTATAACATTGTCTCCTTCTGGGGATGTTTTGACAATGTAAGCGCTTCTGTGCCTATTTGTAGTGCCTGCTGACACTTTGCCGCAGGTTGTTCCAAGAGAGAGCGCCCGGCTGGGCATGCCAGGCGATCGCGAAAACGTGGTTGAGCTAAAAGCCGACCACAGCACGGTGTGCAAATTTGGCGGAGCTGAATTAGACCAAGATAACCTCAAGCGTGTACGAAGCAACATCAAGGACATGTACAAGAAAGCACTGCAGAGAAGTGAGTTAAATGCTGTTTCTATTTCTATCGGGTTGGAATCTATGGTTGATACGGGACTGCAGGCACGCTTAGCCGCGTTACAGGGCAGCCATGCTTGAAACTGGGTGTACGGTAGAAGATTCTTCGCAGCTATAAGAAACGCTTCATGTGCTAATAGAATCGTCTTTCAAGTTGTTTGCACACGCACTATGGTTATTTCAACTGCTGCCGCATTTTCACTTGTCCCCGCCATAATGGGAGTCACCAGCGTGAATCAATTTGTTGGTAGAGGCGATGAACTCGAACGTCTGCACGAGGCGCTGAAACGGACGGGTGAGCGCCGCACCGCCGTGTTGTACGGTTTAGGTGGCATGGGAAAAACTCAGTTGTCGATAGAGTACACAAAACGGCATCGCAGTGACTACTCAGCAACACTATGGCTTAACGCAAGAGACGAAACATCACTCAAGCAGAGCTTTCAACAAGCAGCCCATCGAATCTTACGCGAGCACCCGGCTGTGGCGTATATAAAGAATGCCATGGCCAGTCGAGAACTCGATGAGACTGCGGAAGCGGTCAATCGATGGCTAGACGAGCCGAGAAACGACCACTGGCTTATTATCTACGATAATTACGATGAAGTCAGATTCAGTGGCCGTCAAGGCACGGATCAAAGTGTTAGATGTATCGCGGAGGGGAATACGACTATCTCCGGCCAGTCAAGCCAAGCCGAAGCAGCAGGTGCAAAAGCGTACGACATCCGTCCATATCTTCCTAAAACCGACCACGGTGCCATCATCATTACGACCCGATCCTCTACAGTGAAACTCGGGCAGTTAATCCGACTAAGTAAGTTAGGGGACGTCAATGAAAGCTTAGCAATACTTACATCAACATCCAACCGCAGCGATCTGAGTCAAGGTAAGTTGCTCAAACTAAGAGTAAGAGTAGGAACTGAGGTAATAAGCAGACCCTGATGCTCGCACGCTTGCGCGACGACTCGACGGTCTCCCGCTTGCCCTCTCGACAGCCGGATCCTATCTTGACCAAGTATCGACAACCTGTGCCAAGTATCTCAAATTGTATAACGAATCATGGCTGCGTTTACAGAAAGAGAGCCCGCAACTATTAGATTACGACCAAGCATTGTATTCTACGTGGGAAATCTCATTCAGAAATATTCAGCAGCAAAGTCGAGGCGCAGCTATGCTCCTTCAACTGTGGGCATACTTCGACAATGAGGATCTATGGTATGAGCTTCTGCGGAAGGAAAGGCCGAGGGGGCCGATTTGGCTGCAAGAGATTACAAAAGACGAGATCAACTTCCACGCGGCGATGAGAGTTCTTTGCGAACACGGACTAGTTGAGGCGGACCCTCCTAACAAGGAGTCCGGAGAAGACTCAAGGGGATACAGTGTGCATGGATGCGTCCACGCGTGGATGATACATGTGCTGAATACGGGAGTGGATGAGGAGATGTCTCGGACAGCGATGAGGTGTGTAGCATTGCATATCCCAAGCAATGAGCAGCAAGAGTATTGGATGGTACAACGACGACTTTTACAACACGCGGACCGATGTACCACAAGGACAGCGACAGATGCAGCGGAGGAAGAAGATACATGGATGTCGCATAGGCTAGGCAACCTCTACTACGACCAGGGCCAACTCGGGAAGGCCGAGGCGATGTACGCGCGGGCTCTTCAAGGCAAAGAGAAGGCATTGGGACCAGATCACACGTCAACACTCGACACAATCAACAACCTAGGCCTCCTCTGCAAAAGCCAGGGTCGACTCAAGGAGGCTGAGGAGATGTACGACCGAGCTCTTCAAGGCTACGAGAAGGCATTGGGACTACATCACATGTCAACACTCAACACAATCAACAATCTGGGTATTCTCTACTCCGACCAGGGCCGACTCAAGGAGGCCGAGACGATGTACGAGCGGGCTCTTCAAGGCTACGAGAAGGCATTGGGACCAGACCACACGTCAACACTTCACACAGTTAACAACCTAGGCCTCCTCTACAGTATCCAAGGCCGACTCAAGGAGGCCGAGGAGATGTACGAGCGGGCTCTTCAAGGCTACGAGAAGGCATTGGGACCAGACCACACGTCAACACTCTCGACGGTCAACAATCTAGGCAACCTCTACTATCGCCAGGGCCGACTCAAGGAGGCCGAGACGATGTACGAGCGGGCTCTTCAAGGCTACGAGAAGGCATTGGGACCAGACCACGCGTCAACACTCTCAACAGTCAACAACCTAGGCCTCCTCTACAATATCCAAGTCCGACTCAAGGAGGCTGAGGAGATGTACGACCGAGCTCTTCAAGGCTACGAGAAGGCACTGGGACCACATCACACGTCAACACTCGACACAATCAACAATCTAGGCAACCTCTACTATCGCCAGGGCCGACTCAAGGAGGCCGAGGAGATGTACGACCGAGCTCTTCACGGCAAAGAGAAGGCACTAGGACCATACCACACGTCTACACTCTCGACGGTCAACAACCTAGGCCTCCTCTACAATATCCAAGTCCGACTCAAGGAGGCCGAGGAGATGTACGAGCGGGCTCTTCAAGGCTACGAGAAGGCACTGGGACCAGACCACACGTCAACACTTGACACAGTTAACAACCTAGGCTTTCTCTACTATCGTCAGAGCCGACTAGAGAAGGCTGAGGAGATGTACGAGCGGGCTCTTCAAGGCTACGAGAAGGCACTGCGACCAGACCACGCGTCAACAATCTCAACGGTCAACAACCTAGGCCTCCTCTGCAAAAGCCAGGGTCGACTCAAGGAGGCTGAGGAGATGTACGACCGAGCTCTTCAAGGCTACGAGAAGGCATTGGGACTACATCACATGTCAACACTCGACACAATCAACAATCTGGGTATTCTCTACTCCGACCAGGGCCGACTCAAGGAGGCCGAGGCGATGTACGCGCGGGCTCTTCACGGCAAAGAGAAGGCACTAGGACCATACCACACGTCAACACTCTCGACGGTCAACAATCTAGGCAACCTCTACGCAGACCAGGGCCGACTCAAGGAGGCCGAGGAGATGTACGAGCGGGCTCTTCAAGGCTACGAGAAGGTACTGGGACCAGACCACGCGTCAGCACTCTCCACAGTTAACAACCTAGGCTTTCTCTATTATCGTCAGGGCCGATTCAAAGAGGCCGAGGCGATGTACGACCGAGCTCTTCAAGGCAAAGAGAAGGCATTGGGACCAGATCACACGTCAACACTCGACACAATCAACAATCTGGGTGTTCTCTACTCCGACCAGGGCCGACTCAAGGAGGCCGAGGCGATGTACGCGCGGGCTCTTCACGGCAAAGAGAAGGCACTAGGACCATACCACACGTCTACACTCTCGACGGTCAACAATCTAGGCAACCTCTACGCAGACCAGGGCCGACTCAAGGAGGCCGAGGCGATGTACCAGCGGGCTCTTCACGGCAAAGAGAAGGCACTGGGACCAGACCACACGTCAACACTTCACACAGCTAACAACCTAGGCCTCCTCTACAGTATCCAAGGCCGACTCAAGGAGGCCGAGGAGATGTACGAGCGGGCTCTTCAAGGCTACGAGAAGGCATTGGGACCAGACCACACGTCAACACTTGACACAGTTAACAACCTAGGCCTCCTCTACTCAAGGCTCGGAACCACTACATCCACTCCACTTTGGACCAAGCAGAGTGTATGTACAATTTTTTAGGCAACTTCATTGTGGATGTACTTATAACACTACCCGAAATTTGGCTTCGATCCTTCTCACTGCATGGCTGCACTGTTGCCAGTCTGACTGGGTGTGCCAAACAGGGCCAAAACAAGTTTTTGGGTCCGCAAGATAGCCGGTTTAGGATAGGTCCTGTACAGTATAGCGCGCAAATTCCGTTGCCGGACGCGAATTGCGTTGTGGCGTTTTCCGATGGTGGTTGATGGGGTGAGAGGTCCTTTTGGAGAGACTCCCTGGATATGAGAGCCATTTGCTGCTTTCTGAATAAACGCTTCGACGACGGACACACTTTTAAACATCAAGCTGTCATGATGAAATGCTCTCTCGCTCTGCTCCAGCATCAGGAACGTACTTGATTGACAGGTTGTCTTGTCAAGACTATTCGTTTCGCCCGTAGCTGGACGACAGCTTCGCCTAACGCAATGGAGCATCTGGACCAACACTCATTGGACTTGCTGATCGATTCCAATCCGTATTCTTTGGACTTTGAAGAGACGACTGTCTCTTCTGATTCATGGTCGTCCGGCGTGAACACGCCATCTTCCAGCGGCAACAGTCTCGCCGAGCGGGGTGTCACACCAACACGGGATGTGCCAACGGACGAGCTCTCTTACCTGGAATACGAATATCCAGATCCATCCGAGTCTCCCTCGGCTTGGAGAGCCCTCGACGGCAGTAGTGAGACTACCGACTTGACACTTGCCTCATCGGGAGATTGGCATGGGTATCAAGAACAACAAGAAGCCGATAGGACAGATTTGGTACCACTTGCAAGGACCCATCACTGGATGTACTCTGACATACCTAGTAGAACGATTTCATCTTCCATGTTCTAGTGCGTACGCCAGAGCGCTTGTTCAGACGGGAGGTGTCAACGGATGCTTGGCACCAGCATCAGCTCGATTGTGGGCGGAAGACGCAAGCGTTACAGCATGCCCTCACGAGTTCTACGAACCTATTTCTACGAGACTCTATCGGAGACACGATCCTGCATACCCTGGCAGGCGATTTTGGGTTGCCGAACTTGTCTGCGGAAACCGAGGGTTACGACATCCTCCAGCGGCTCTTCGACATTGGGCCAGACGGTTTCGGGTCGTCAGTGAAGTCCTGTTGTCTATCCATGATCGATTCGCAAAATGACGGGTATTGCATGACCGACGGAGCCCCGGCGGAACCGTTCATGCACACGCCTCTTGGGGTTGCAATTCTATACAACAACCTCGCCTGCGCCGAGCTTCTGCTTCAGCACGGGGCTGGCCCAAACATCCCAGGGGAGTGGGGACAGCGTCCGCTGTTCTTTGCCTATCGGAACAACAGCGAAGAAGCAGTCAAACTGCTGACCGCCTACGGAGCTTGCCTTTGACGAAACCACGGCTTTTGGCCAAGCACAACGCCTGATGCAAAGAACGCCAGTCTCGCGCAATTGATCAATAAGGATCGATGTGTGTTGTAGGTAGGGAAGCCTATTGTGATTTTTGCGGCGAGGCAGGCAAGCCATCCGCCGGCCGACAAGGTGCCGACGATTTTTACCATAGAGACATTGCACGCACTTCACAAAGCTGCAGCGCCAAACTTCGCGAGTGTCTGATTGCTTGTCGGTATTAGCATTCGCAGCAGTAGATACCGGGTCTCCACTTTTACAAAGAGTTCTAGAATGTCCGTCTCTCTTGCGACGAGATTGGCGCTGTTTTGGCCCCAACCTTTGCCTATCGGGGGGCATGACGCCAATACCCGAGAAAACAGGCCCTCTTTGCGCCAGTTCCGACGCTTGAGATCTGGCCCTTTCCAGGCTTCGCCCAACCATGCATCCCATCATTCCTGGGTTGGTAGGGGTCTTCGAGCACTGACGTTTGTGCACGGGAGGCAGCAAGTGAACTAGTGCGCCGGAAACTGGTGCGCCGGAAAATGCTCCTGCCGCAGCGGCGGGATACGGCCAACAACAACTTGCTGCGAGCCCTGTGATGGTCCGAAATGGCATGTCGCTGCTTCTACTTAGGTCCACCGCCGTTCTCTTGCGACATCCCACGGGATGCCTTGCCATGAATGCTCGGTACGAAAGAGCCAGAAGCCGCTTTCGTTGGTGACACACGACATCATGGCTGTTCATACACCAAGTCACGTATATAAAGGCACGAAATAAAAAAGTCAAGTGAAGCAGATTGGATCTACAGATCCTACTACTGTTCGTTCACACCCATGCAACTTTTATCACTGCTTCGGATAACTCAACCACCCTGCTTCCCACGCAACCCCGCATACCACGCAGCCCCAAACCCCCATCAATATCACCATACCCATCAACAACATCCATTATTCCTCATCCCTACCACCTACCCAGATGCAACTTTCTGCTTCACTAGATAATTCAGATCCACTGGATTCACTTGTGCTACTCTCTGCTTCGCCAGCAGCAATTTGCGCCCGTCGGATATCCTCGATATTAGCGAACGTCGTGTTAGGGTCCGTCTGGACCCTTTTTCTCCTGCCTTGTTGCTGACTATCCGTCTGGGCCTGGAATGCCTGGGCCTGACGCTCTAGGACTGTCAGTCTATAGGCCTGTTGGTCCCAGCCTTTTTGGACCTTTCTAAATAGGTGGCGTTGGGTGTAGATTTCTCGGGTATCTTGCGTAAGCTGGTTGAATAGGTGCAGCTGACGCTGAAGATCAGCAGACTTACGCGGGGTTGACCATGGGACTATAGATACAGCTCCATCCCACTGCTGACTTCCTGACTGCCCAGCTGTCTGGCCGTCTAGCTGTCTGGCTGGCTGGCTGGCTGATGCCTTAGACACGAAAGGGCTAGATAGAGGTTGCGCTACATCAACTGGCCATAACCCAGTGTGTTTCCAGCCGCTTTTAATAACCTGGATAGTCAAGGCGTCTAGACGTGCCCTTCTATAACAGTCTATAAAGTTCCTCTTGCCTGTTACAGTTGAATCGCTTTGTATATCTAGGTACCCTAGATACTTCCTATAGGCTGCCTTAAGAGGTCGGAATACTGACTGATCTAGAGGCTGGAGGACGTGTGATGTGTGCGGCGGCAGAAACAGGAGGTGTATGTGGTTCCGGAAGCATCGCCACAGAAAGTCTGTTGTTGTATGGCTATGATGGGCGTCTAGAACTAGTAGTCTAGTATCTGAAGGGTCCTCTGGGACAGTCTGAGGGATAAAGACCTTTTCTAGCCATTCTAGGGCATTCTGATCAGTTGTCCAGCCGTTCTCTGTTGCTGTGAATTTCCAGCTAGCATAGGGTTGAAGATCTAGAGGAAACCACTGTTGCTGGACTGACTTGCCCTTATACATAACAAGAGGCGGAAGTGCGCGTCCTCTGGCAGAGACGCACTCGATCAGAGATACCCATGCCCGCGATCCAGGCTGTTTTTTCTGGATATACTTGGTCTCTGACGATCCTAGTACTAGCCCATTGCTTCCTTTGCCCTCGAGGATACCAGTCTCATCCATGTTCCATCTATTAGCTGGCTTGATGGGCAGGATTGCTGGCAGATCAAGGCGATGAAACCATTCCTGGATAATGTCAGCAGTTGCCCCATTAATTCGCCTAGCGTCAATTGCCCTGCATCGCTGGGTTCTGATAGATGGGTTTCTGCGAAGAAATCGCTGCATCCACTTCCTCCCAAGTGGTCGCTGCCCATCGCCCAGCATGCGCTCAGCCAGCCCTTTGACTTGCTGATGGCAAAACGCAGAGCCTAGGGCAGCCTGCTTAGATATCCACTCAGCAAGTAGACCTTCCTGGTTCTGAGATAACCGCTGCAGTCTACCAAAGGCAGTATTTCTAGACTGGGTACCATGGAGACGTTGTCGTACAGTCGCCTCTGGGATGCCCCATTTGCGACCTGCCCCGCGGATACTAAGCCCGTCAGCAATATCCCAAAGTGCCCGCTGCAGCTCATGTTCACTATACTGCTTCATCTTATAGTAAAAAAGATATCCTCAAAAAATGGCGTTGTTTGGGGTAGAATAGAAGATGTTGTGATAGTTAGAAAAGAGGAGTAGGTTTTATGGTGACGCGTTGTTGGGCTGCGTGGTATGCGGGGTTGCGTGGGAAGCAGGGTGGTTGAGTTACCTGCGACCACAGCAATCGGCCACCTCATATTTCTCGCTTCCTCATTGCAATGGAAAGAACTAGGGCAGACGCGCTTGAAACAGACGCCATCATTGTCGGCGCGGGCTTCAGCGGTTGTTATTCACTGTTCAAGATTCGACAGGCGGGGTACTCGGCCAAGATTCTTGAACGTGGAAACGACTTTGGGGGCGTTTGGCACTTCAATCGGTATCCCGGAGCCAGGGTCGATTCCGACACGCCCTCCTACCAGTTCAGCCTGTCCGAAGTCTGGTCCGACTTCCACTTTACCGAGCGGTTTCCCGGGCACGAAGAAATCCGCAGATATTTTCATCACGTCGATGCCACTCTCGGCTTGCGCAAGGATACGATTTTCGACGCCCGAGTGGACGAGGTCAAGTACGACCCCGCGGGCAGACGCTGGCATTTTCGCACGACAAAGGGTCTGTGCGCGACCTCCAAGTACGCAATCTTCGCATGCGGCCCGATGAACAAACCGTACATGCCTCGTTTTCCAAACCAGGACATGTTCGGTGGGCCCGTCATCCATCCGTCCGCATGGCCCAGCGATCTCCAGCTTACGGGCAAGAAGATTGGCGTCATCGGGCAGGGAGCGTCCGGTCTGCAGATCGTACAGGAGCTTGCTAAAGTGGACTGCCAACTCACAGTCTTCGTTCGGAACCCCTGCATCGCGATCCCCATGCACCAAAGACAGCTATCGAACCGAGAGTCGGAAGAGATGAAAAACTACTACGACGCCATATTTACCGAGGCCAAATTCGGCTCGTCTTCGGCGCTGCCCTACAATCACAATACGGATTTGCTACGCTGCACGACTGAAGCAGAACGGGCGGGCCTGTTTGAGCGACTGTGGAATAGGGGTGGCCTCGGTCTCACACAG